CAGCTTCTTCCTCATCTTTACAGTTCAAAGCTGGAAAAAATCCTGTCCAACCTTTTCCCCATAGGGCCATGCTGTCATCCCTGCCTGACCTTGGGACACCTACTTCTGCCTGTGCAGAGCCAAATGCCTGCCCTAGTAGATAGGCAGTGCTGGAGAATCCCCAGAGAAGCAAGATGACAGGCTGCTGAGGAGCTGACATTGGTATCACCAGACTGGCTCATCTGTGCCAGTCCTTGGCCATAGCCTTGTGGTCAGGGGTAAATGATTCCCTCCCAAGGGGCTGGAGGGGCTGAGAATGGCTCTCCTGTGCTCCAGAGAGTGTTGAGAATATCCTTTTGGAGGGAACTGGGTCTTGCAGGAGCAGGCAGGGACACGCATGGTGCATGGTGTGGCATGTGCTGCTGCCAGCCCTGCTGAGCCATGCCAACCCAGTGTGCTGTGGCAGAGCCCCTGTGAGCCTGGGCTGCTGGGACACAGGTCCCACGTCTGCTGGGTCATGGGGTGGGGGTCGCAAGGTATTGAGATGCCCATGATGGAGACCACAGCAGGCTGAGCTGGCTGCCTGCCTGACATCTTCCCGAGGGTGGGAGGATTTCGGTATGCCAAGGTCAGCACCTCCCAGCAGTACGAGCTACTCCCTGCCACTGAAACATCTCCCCAGCACCTTGGTGGTGTGCAGGGCTTGCAACCAACACTGCAGGCCACAGGTCAGGCCATGGGCAGCTCTGTCTTGTGGGAGCAAAGCAAAGAAAGCCTGATGCATGGTTCTGGAGGGCGAGGGGACTCTCCTGGCCCCCTCCATGGCAGAGCTGTCCCAGGGCCAGAAGAAAGAGAGTAGGACAGCTCAGTCCTACACCCACACCTCTCTCATGCTCACTCATGGCCCCTCTCCCCATCAATGTGTCCTTGTTGCTTCAGCCCACTCGACCAGCTGGAATGTTTGCCCTGGCCCTGCCACCTCGGGATGCCCTTTATGCCCTGGCTCCTCTCCTCCTGCATTGCTGCCGCAAAATGACACCCGACAGACAGGAACAAGTGGTGCTGTGACACAAATGCCATTCTGGTACTGCTGCCCTGGCAGCTCTTGCTTGCTAGCCTAACCTTACAGCGGGAAAGGCAGTGCTGCCCTTGCTTTGCCCAAATTCATGCTTCCTCCAGCCCCTCACACAGAACTCCCCTGTCTCCTGTGGCTTGCCCAGGCCTGGGAGAAAGTGGCCCTCAGCTCCTTTCATGGCTCAGACCAAAGGATGGGTCCTGTTGGATGGAGCAGCAGGTCTGGCAGTGCCTACTGATGATCTGGCTATGCAGAGGTGTCCCCTCACAGCCTGGAGCAGGATGGGCACAGGCTGGCCAGGCTGCCAGCTGTTGCCCAGGAGTGGCTGGGCAGGACTGCTGGCACGGCCGGCTGATGTGGGCAAGCGGGCTGGTACGTACCTCCTCTTCCCACCCAGAGCCAGGCAGGTCCCGCTTGGATCACAGGCTAGCACACAGCCAGGGTGCTGCTTCCCCTGCAGTGCTGACCTCCTCCCACATCCCTGGCTCCCCTCAGCCACCTGGCCCAGGAAAAGGTGCCATGTGGTCATGGGCTTGCTCTCCCTGGCCTGCACTCAGATGGGCTTGTGTTTGGGTCTGGGATAACGTTGGCATTACAGAGGGATGGCAAAGACTTTTCTGCCCACTTCACTGGCACCTGCAGGGAGAAGGTGTACCCAGCCAGGGTGGTGGCAGCTGTCCTCCCTATACCTGGTGCTTCCATGTGAGCATGGTCCCTTGGCACTGTTGAGAATTCCCTGGAAAGTAGTTTGTGATGCCCTGTGTGATGACACGGTGGGAAGAAGCCCTTTTTGCACAGGATCCCGTGCACTCCTGAAACAGCAGGGCTTTCTGCAGGAGCATGAGCCCTGGAGGCAATTGGTCCAGAGTATGCCTTCCTTGTGCATCCCTGACAACATCCCTGCTTTGAGTAAAGGGCATGGAGAGCCTGGCAGGGACCACCCAGCCAGAGAAACCCCCAGAGACAGGTTAGACATGCTGAAATGTGTGTTGTCTGAGAAGCCCAGCATTGATCTGACCCTGACTGAGTTGTCAGCCAGGGCCAGCCAGGCCCAGAGCCAGACTTAACTCTGGGTTTAGGATCTTGGGCATCCCATGCTGTCCTGGATGTCAGCCACACATGAGGATGTGTATCCACACAACTTTCCCTTCCTCCTGTATTGCTGCAGGAGCACATCAGCCAAAACAATGGGCACCAAATGGTTTGGGTACCCTGGTGCCAGCAGCAGGGTGCCCTTATCAGGCATGTTATCGGGGTGTTCCTCTGACACCCACAATCCTCTGCTGTGTATGCTATCTCCTCTTGGATGTGTTGGCTCATTCCCCAGAAGGAGAAAGTTCAGGCTGGAGCAAAACAACTGCAAACACAGGTGTGGGCACACCTGGCTCCAGTGCCTGGGGCCATGCACCTAGCTCCCCCATGCTGTGCCACCTAGGGGTGAAGGGGGATCACCCAGGCAGCCTCCAGACCAATATGCCTGGACACTGGGTGTGACAGAGGGACATAGCTTTGCACACCACAGCACAGCCAGTGACAAACAATGCATGCAGCCTCTTGGGACACATCACACAGCAGGGCATGGAAGACAGGCAGCAAGGAGTGCTAAGGCACACTGACAGAGAGAAATCTTTGTCCCTTGGCATCTCTGCTCACTCCCTACTTCACCAGGAGCACCACAGATCCTGCTCCAGCAGCGATGAGTTTGAAAGCAGCCTGCTGTACCCATATCAGTGGCCTCTGGCCCACAGGCACTGTCACTGACTGCCACAGTGAGCCACCCAGGTGCTTGGCTTTGACCCCAGCCCTGGCAGCCCGTGCTGAGGACAATGCCTCGCTTCCCCCTTCACCCACGGTGCCAACTTGCTGCAGCCTCCCAGGGAGGAGGGGAATCTCTCACTCCTGTTCCTTCTCAGCTGGGTAGGTTCACTGCTCCCCGTACGGGCCAGGCACCAGTGCCTTGGCAGGTGTCCCAGCTCCTCCCTTCCCACCTGAGCGGCAGCTTGGCGTTATGTAAGTGCAGGAAGAGCAAGGCTGGTTCGAGGCAGCAGCCTCTCGGCGTCAGACGCTGCTGGGCGAGGAGGCGGGAGTGCGCCGGGGTGGCACACGCGTGGGGCAGCCACGTGTGAGCCCACCCGCCTGCCGCTCCGCGCACAGCCCGGGAGCACGCCCGCGGTGCATGTGGTGGGAAGGGGAGGGCGAGGTGTCTCTGAACGCGTGGGTGCTGCTCCCCGGGCACATTTCCCACTCACGGCGGAGCAGCAAGCCCCAGAGCCGCTGCCCGCCGTGCCAGCCAGGCAGACATCTGTACCTGACGCACTGATGGGCCACAGGTCTCCTCAGGGTCGTGGATGTGTCCCACCTGCTGAAGACACTGGAAGTCTCGGGCACCTGCAGCACTACTGGCCCAGTTCGGTTCTCTCAGGCTGAACTGGGGACACCCAGACCTGCTAGCCCCCGTACAGGCTGCTCCCCCCCAGGGTGTCACCAGCTCTCTGTCACCAGAGCCAGCCCCACACAGCGCCAGTGCAGGACCTGAGACAGCTCTGTCCACTCCTCGCCTCTGGGGTTCACCTCATCAGGGCCAGGGAGCCTGCAGAGTGGTAGCACCTGGGACCTCCTGTTCAGTCTCCTCTGCTCTCACTGCTAGAGAAGGGAGCAGGGCAGACCCCGCAGTCCTCGCTCCTCAGTCTGCCAGGGAATGGATGGGAGCAGCCCCCAGCACGTTCAGCCTGCCCAGAGCAACCCCGAGACCAGCTCGAGCAGGGCAGAGCCACTTTCCAGGGATGGGAAGTGCCACTCCGGGCCAAACCTGTGTCCACTCCGGGGAGGGCCAGGGGAGCTGCCGAAAGGGCAGGAGCTGGCACTGGGACTCTCGGGCTCCCTACCCGGGCTCTCAGTGACGCTCAAGATGGCTTTCGAGGCAGCACAGCTGCTTCCCAAGGAACCTGCTGCGCTCTCCGTGCAGGATGGGGCCGATGCCTGTCTGCCGCTGGACACTATCCATGCCCCTGCGGGCACTGTCTGTGTAGACAGAGGTAGCCAGGGAGATGAGCACGGAGTCCAGCGGCCAAGACACACAGCTGGGGGCTGTTGTCACTGCCCGGCAGACACAGGGCACCACAAGACAGGCACGGCGGGCATGGCAGAGCAAAGCCACCCGGACCCGCACCCAGGGATGGGCTGGCACCACGTACGGACTCCGTGCCAGACGCGGCCTCTCCCCACCCAGATTCCACCGCCGCTGACACCCCCCAGCCCCGGGGTGACACCAGTCCCTTTCTCTTGCCAGCCCCACACCGCTGTCAGCTCCGAGCCCGCTGCCCCGGGGCACCCGGCCCCCGGCAGCTCACAGGCTCCTGGTGGTGACACCCACCTGTGGAAGAGGAGCAGGATGGAGAGCAGGGTCTGGTCGATATTCCTGTTGCAGATACCCTGGTTGAAGAGGTAGCAGGGGTCCCGCACGACGGGTTCCAGCGAGTCCTGGCGCATGATGGAGCTCAGCTTGTCGGTGTTGAGGTTCTGTCGGACCAGCTGTTCCCGCAGCTGCCGGAAGCTGCTCACGGTGGGGCTGCCCGGGTTGTTGTTCTCGCCGCCGGCCCCCTCCTCCAGCCCGCTCCGGTTGGCCAGATCCAGGCAGCAGCTGCAGCAGTCCAGCCCCACGGGCGACCGGCACTCCTCCGCGGGCGACGAGGACATCCCGGGGGGCCCCGCGCCTGGCCACGGCGGCGCCGCCGGGGCCGCTCCCGGGGCCGCGGAGGGCGAGCGGCTGCAGGACGCACCCGGTGTCGAGAGCGGCGAGCGGCCCCCGCCCGCCCCGGTCCCGTTCCACCCGCCCCGGCCCCGCTCCACCCCGCCCCCGTTCCGCCCCGTCCCCGTTCCGCCCGCCCCGGTTCCGCCCCGTCCCAGCGCATCCTGCCTCTGCTCCGCTCCTCTCCTCTTCTCGCCGCTCCGCCCCGGCCCAGCCGCTCTCCGCCCTCCCCGAGCAGCCGCTCCCCGGCAGCGCGCCCACCCCACGCTTGGGTCCGGGAGAAGCTGGCGAGTTGTAACATGAGGTGGCGTGGGGTGACGAAGGACCACGATGCCCCTTTCTCGCTGGGGACCCTCGCCGCGCTCTGTGCTTTCCGGGGGTGGCGTGGGCGCTCAGGAGGCTGGCGCTGCCCGCGGCATCACTCCCTGAAGCATTGGCGCGGGCAGCCCGCGTGGCTCCGGAGACGGGGCAGGAAATAGGAAAAAGGGGATGAAAGGTCCCAGGATGGGGGAGAAAGCCAGGAAGTATCTGGCTTCACTGCTGGGAACTTCTGGGAGCTGCCTCCCCCGAAGCCAAGCCAGGCGTGGGTGAAACGCACGAAGCCTGGGGGCTATGGATGTTAGGGACGTTGCGAGTCTCGGTAGATGCCTGGGGATGGGGGATATGCAAGGGAAAAAGGGATTTCTAGGAGGAGGAGAAGTGGCTTCCTGGCACTGTTGCATCTCAAGGTGAACATTTCTGCCACCACTGAACCGCACTGGGGGGCTAGTGAAGAGTGATTGGAACACATGGTGCTGTCCTGGTGGAGCTGGGGTATGGGACAACACCTCAGAGAGGTGGGGACCACTGGCCCAGGACCCTCGGAATGAGATTCGGGAAGGTGACAAGGTGCTGCAAGGCTGGACTGCTATCACCGCAGGTCAGTGAGCTCCGGGGACCAGCCCGGGTATCCCTCATCCTTCAGAGAGATGAGGAACTGGGAGCTGGTGGGGAAGGGCTAGGTAAGGGTCCAAGGAAGCAGAGCTGCCGAGGGGAGGAGCAGGCAGGCTGGGGAAGCCCGCCATGGACAGGCAGGATGCAGGGACGGCAGGTGGGTCTGTACAACGGGGTTGCGAAAGGGCTGATGGAAGGAACGGCAGGAAGCAGTGATCAGAGGATTGCAGCATGTCTGAAGGGCACGGGACTGATAAGAGGTAAACCGGGTCAAAATCTGGCTGGGCAAAGCCACTAGAGCACTTGAACAGCAGAGGTCCTGGTGGCAGCACAGTGCCCGGCGGGGTTGTTAACGGGGTAGCTGCTGCCACTGAAGGAGCGGCAGGAGCATCCAACAAACATTCCTGTTTTCTGCTTTGCATGAAGAAGAAAGATGCATGCCATGAGAATGAAGCAGTTTCAGGCCATTATTAACCTGGGGCATCACGAGACTCCCAGATCCACCACAGATCCACAGCTGGGAGAGCGGCCACGGTGAACTCGGGCAGGGCTTCTCATGCCAGGCCCCATTGGACCTGGGGACCAGCAGGATCTGGCTCCCGGTGGAGGTGGCACAAGCCTGGGGTCCAAGTGTGGGCAGGGGAAACTGTCAGCCTGGGATGATGCTGAAAACAGGTGAATTCCTAAAGGACAGATGACCCACAAGCTGCTCCAGGAGTGTCCTCTCCTTCTATGCACTGGTGGATGCTGAGGGCTGTTTTTAAGGTGCTTCCTCAGCCCTTCTTGTGGGCAATTAGGGAAGGAAGGGAATTGAGTCTTGCCCATCTGCCCTGTGGCATTGTTGTGAGGACCCACGGAAACAGGAGGGCGCTGAGATTTCTTCCATCTTTTCGGTTTCGGAACGGCCCCCGCGAGCTGCACTCCGGCTGCACCCCGGGCGGAGCCGAGCCCCACGCCGCGCTCCGTGGGCGGGTGCCCGCGGGCCCGCGGGAGGCTGCTGCCATCCCGTGGGCACAGGGGGAAGGACGAGCTCAGGGCTGGCACCCCTTCCTCGGCCCCAGCTCCCCCAGTGGCTCTGCCCCGGGCCCGGGACGTCCTGCCCGGCCCCGACGGCACTGGAGGTGGCTCCGGGTGCAAGTCGTTGCCTCCTCCAGGCTCCTTGTGCCCTCTGGCTGTCGCCCACGTCCCCTCCAGCTGCACCAGAGCTGCCACACAGGGCTTGGGGCTGCTACCCAGCCATCAGCTCCTTGCTCCTCATCAGCAGCCGGCACACATCATGGGCTACCACCTTCTCACATGCAAGCCACGATGAGCTCTCTAAAGCCCCAGATCCGAGAGCATCCTGGTTCAAGGTGATCAGCTGGTGGTGGCAGCTGGAAAGTAGGTTTCCTATGTTTAGCTCTGGCCTTTTTGGGTCCTGCTGTTCATGGGACTGGGACAGTGCTAGTTTCTGCACACCCGCTTCTCTCAAGGGCACCCACGTGCTCCACACTCAGACATGTCACTGCAGCCCTAAGCCACAACTGGCACACGGTAGCATGCTGAAGGGAGTGAGGACTCAGCTGGCTCTGGGGTAGGGCAGGGACAGCTTTGGCCCGAAGCCTATTGCACGCGAAGGGGCAAAGGGGCTTCAAGTTAATCCCTCGGCTCTGAAAGGGATTCTCTACCCCTGGCTGAAATGCAGGGTGTTCTGCTCCCAGCTCAGGGCAGGGACTCCAGTCCTGCCTTGACTTCTCCTGCAGCCCCCTGGACAAGAGGGGGTAGTGGATTGGGAAGGAGAGAACAGGGGGAATGTGTGGGGCTGTGGGGGTCTGGGTTCATCCAGCCCTGTGCCAGCCATGTCCCCGGCCATGTGCCATCTGTCTGTCTGGTGCCTGTCCAGGTCCCCCAGCCCCTCTCCCCAGTGCTCACTTTGGGAAGGCCCTCCCTGTGGAGTCTGGGAGAGAAGATGCAGCACCCTGTCCTGTTCTCAGGTGGTATCCAGATCACCTCCTCTCCTCAAAGACCCCCCTGCAGCTGGGTCAGAGCCAGGTAGGGCTCTGGGTGCAATCTGCCTGTCCTGCCTTCCCTGTTCCTTCCCCGTTGGTGCAATGGTGAGAGCTGGCTCATGCCACTGGGCCATCTGCTCCAGGGGAGCCCACCAGTGCCAGGCCCCCTGCCAGGCGACCCCCCCTGCGCCTCCACGGCTGCTAAGAATAACCAGCGCCGTCAGCAGCCGTGGTATTTGCAGGCACAGCCAGTGCCACCCCCATGCCAGCCTGCTGGGCACAGGATCCATCTGCTCCCTGACGTAAGTCAGCAGCCACGGGGGGAGATGGGTGGGCAGTCTTGGGGGCCACGTGTGGCTGTGAGGAGGGGTCCTGTCTCCCTGCCCCCCCGACCTGAACAGGAGCCAGGATGCTGTGGTGGGACATGGAGGCATTGCTGCCCAGCGCCCAGCATGGGAGCATGGGGAGCTGCCTGCCTTTCTTCTGTCCTGCTTTTCCCAGTGTTCCACAAACAAACACCCTGTTCCCAGCTCTGCAGCACCCCTCGGAGATCGGGGCAGCCCCCAGGGCTGGTGACAGTAGCTCTGCCTTTCTGCCTGCAGAGGGATGGGGAACCAGCAGGCTCAGTCACCTGGAATCTCCATGAAGGGAGATGAGCCATCCCAGAGGTGGTGCAGAGCAGTGTGTGGGGCAGCTCCCCTGAGCACTAGAGCAGCTCTTTCCCCTGCGCATTGGGCCACAAGGACCAACGCAGCTCCCCGAGCTTCATGTGTGGTGGAGTCAGAGATCTGCAGCTGGCAGAGGAGTGGGCTGGGGATGCCTCCAGCTGTTGCCACTGTATTATTGGGGTGTCCCACCTGGACTGTTCCCCAGGAATGCAGAGCTGCATTCCCCAGGAATGCAGAGCTTCTCCTCTGGGACCCATATGAGCTGCATTTGCCCCTGTGCCCAGGCTCTAAAGAGAGGATTCTGCAGGGACACCGTGCTCCTACCAAGGGCAAACATAGTGCAAAGCCTTCTTTCCAGGCAGTGATGGTGAGTCATGCAGAACCAGGCTGGGATGTTTTCTTCTGTCTGTGTGACACTCCAGTAAATCATATAGGATGTCCTAACACTGGGCCAAGATGACCTGTGGCATGTGGGGCTCCTTGCTCTCCTTTCAGCATGGGGACTCACACAGCCCCGGGAGTGGCCCTGGGCACAATGGTGTTGTCAAGGGGCATTTCCTACTGAGACAGAGGGTAGTGAGCTATTCCAACGAAAGGCTTTTCAGCTCATTGGGGAGGGATTAAAACCAAGCTGGCATTTCCACGGGATTGATGAAGACCTAGGGTTGTCTGGCCACAAAGAGGTTAAACTTCCTGTTCACCCACATGGCAAGCACTAACTGGCATCGAGAAACCATCTTCAAGTTCTGTGAGGAGCACAGCAAAGGGTCATAGGAGCTGCAGGGATGCACTGGGGGAGTATTGAAGTCATTATGGCACCCAGGAGTGTGGGTGCTGCTGGCCAGTCTGGCAGAGCATGGGGCAGGCAGGCAGGGCTTAGCTCTGTGCCACTTCGCCTGTTTGGAAATCGGGGTTTGGAGTTGAGCAATCTCTGCCCATGGTCTGAGACTGGGGGCACTCCCTGCAAAGGACAGCTGAGGTTTGGGGTAGAGGTTCAGTAGGGGTGGAGCCACACTGGTCGTCTGGGCATTTTCAGATTTAACTCTTTTTTTTTTTTTTTTTTTTTTTTTTTTGTAAAATAGCCTATGCCTCCCTCTGGTGGGGAAGAATTGCTGTGCCAGTGGGATAAAGTCTATGGCTGCAATTAGACATCTCACACCCTTCCTGGGTGCCCACTGCTCTGACAGTGGCTGTGGGCAATGAGCCACCTGCGATGCCACCCACAGGTAATGCCTCTGTCTCCTATGCCTGGAGCTTTGCACTTACCCACTTTCCTGCCTTTATTCCTAGCCTGTGATTCTCAACATGTTCCCAGGTGTCCAGGGATGTTGCTTCCCTCACTGGTGTTAGGAATAGCCCTGTTCCTGCTTGGCCCGGGTGAAATGAACCCAGCGGGTCCCAGAGCTGGTGGTTCTTGCACCACTGGAACAGAGGACACAGGGCATGGCGGAAGCTTGGGGAGGAGGTGGGATGGCAGGATGTGGGACATGGGATGCTGGACTCTACTAGGATCATCCCAGGTCAGACACAGATGGGGCAGCTGAGTTGTTGCAGAGGATACATGAGGTGGTGGGAGTCCTGCAGTGGACTCAAGAGACAGAACCTCCCAGGCACGAGTGTATGTGTGTATGTGTGTATGTGTGTGTGCATGCTTCCCTTCCTCATCCTCACCTCTCTGAGGCTTCTCTGTGCTCCAGCTGGTGTTGGCAGTCATGGCAAGTACCGGGAATATCTTATTTTTTGTGGCGTTTGAAAGAATGTACAAATACTCAATGAGACATTACATCTTTCCCCTGAGACTTGTGAGCTGCCTCCCCACAGCAATAAACTCCAGTTTTGAACATTTGGAATGAAGAAGTGGTTTTGGCTGTGAGTCCCTCTTTCCAGCCCTTTTGGGGAAGGGGGAGCAGGGTGTGTGAGTGCTACCTCATGGCTTGCCAACACACCCACCCTGCCAGCTCAGAGCAGCAGCAGTGGATTTAGCCTGAGGTGCTATTGCCTGGCACCTGCTGGTTCAGCAGGTAAACCCATTACTGGTGCCACCACAGACCTAGTGCTGATGTCCCACTCCTCTGTCAGGGCTGCCTGGCATGTTGCTGGAGATGCAACAGATGCATACCCCTCCAGGCTCCTCTCTGGGGACGGAATGTTCACGTGACAGGAGCACAGTGGGCTGCAGGTGTGTTCGTTTGGAGTGACCCAAGAGCACATTGGACTGTCCTGGCTCCTCCTGGCTGGGTACCAAGCAGGCCCTCAGACTCTGAGCCTTGTCTGGAGGGATTTTGGGGATGCCACCCCGCTCAGACCCTTCCCTCAGCCCATTTCTTTTGCCCAAACCTCCTATACCTGTCCTCAAATTCCCATGGTGGGCACACAGCAGATAGGCAGCCTTGGAGACCTTCTTGCCCTGGAGCTCTGTGGCAGCATCTCGAGGAGCAGTGCCTGATTTGGCCCTCACCTGTGGCCACCCTCGAAGACACAGGAGCTTCTCCTTCAGCCCCCATCTGTCCTGTGGTCACAGCATGCTGGCACCAGGGATCAGTGTTTGCTCAAGGCTCAGTGTAAAAGAATCCCCCCACCCCTCTCCTGGGGTCAATGAGTGCCTCCATCCTTCAGTTTCTCCTGTGAAGGTGGAAGAGCCTCAGTGTCAAAAGTTGCTGGAGGAGGTGTGACACAGCAGCTGGGCTACCAAAACCACCTAATTTGGGATATTAAAAAATAATCATCCCTGCAAAGCAATTAATTTCCCTGGAAAGCCCCTGCAGTTTTGGGATCATTTCTTCCTACACTTGTTAATTTATGGGAGACATTATAACTGTTAATTTACAGGAGAGATTATAACTTATCACAAAGCAGAAGCAGAAAAGATATGTTTACCATTTCCAATTCTGCCTTTAATTAACACTGGTGATGGGCTGCCCAGCTGTGGCAGTACCAGGAGCTGCCACGCAGTAATTCCTGCCTGAAACACTCACTCAAGTGACCACAGAAATGTGGGCTTTATTAATATGAATAAAGTTGCTTTATGACAATTTAACAATTTAATCATGCTCAACACTTATCCAGTGGATGCCCAAGTGAGTGGACAAAGTCTTGCCCTTGCCAAGTTTTCCATGGTCAAGGATGAAGATGGAGGCTGGCCAAGCTGTGGAGATGAGGTAAGCCTGTTCTGGATGCAGGAACCAGACACAGACCTGTGGCTCCAGCTGCCTGTCTGAATGTGTCTAGGTGGCAGGGGTCTGTGGGGACAGTCCTGCTCACAGCCTGGCCAGGGAAAAGTAAACCTGTCTCCCCCAGATCCTTACATGCTGAGCTGGCTGGCATGGGGCAGTGCCATGGCAGAATGGGGCCTGGCTGCACTGGGGCAGTTGGGGGCTCCAGCAGCAGCAAGGGTGGACAGTCCTTCGAGGTTACATAGAGAAGGAGCTGTACTAATTAATGATATCTCTGTGCTGCTTTTGGGGAGGGGATGAGTGGGGCTGCCTGTCCTGTCAGTGCTGGAGCAGTCTCCCACCTTGGAGATGCCTACAGTCTTCCTGGGACCAGGGACTGGCTGCCATCTTCTGGGCTATGACACCAGAATGCACACCTTGGAAGATGGGTAGGTAGCAGGAGCTAGAACATGGCACGCACACTGAGCTCTCTTCTGGAGGGTGCATGCCAAACCCTGCATCCAGATGCAGAGTTCTGGAACCAGCTGTGCTGCAGTGACACCCACATGGCTGACCTGTGCTGTCCCCCACCAAGATCCTTCTGGGAGAGGATGTCCTGCTCAGTACGTGCCTCTGCACCTCGCTTGTCCCCAGCTGCAGGTGGTGAGATGAGCTGGGACCTAAAATAGCCAGCAGGCGTGGCAGGTACAGGGCAGGTCCCCGTCCCTGCTCACAGCACAGCCGGCACACGCACAGCAGAAACAAACGCGCCTGTGTGCCGACACCGACACGCGTGTGTGAGCGGCGGCACGCAGACACACAGACACACAGACACACAGGCACACAGGCACACAGACAGACACACAGACACACAGACACACAGGCACACGGACACACAGACACACAGACACACGCGGAGGTTCCCGCGCCGGGGCAGCCGCAGCGAGTGTCCGTGCCCGCGCAGCCGCCGCTGGATGGCAGCAGGTCCCCGGCGCTGCCTCCCGGGCCGCGGGCAGGAGCAGCGGGGCTGGCGGTGCCGGGCACAGCGCCTGCGGAGCGGGGCTTGGGCAGCATGTAGGGACCAGAGAAGGGGCGGGCAGGCCCACCGGGCGACCGGGCGTGTCCTGGTGCCACGGTGTCCTTTATGGAGCCTGGTGAGATCTGAAGGTGAAGGATGACTGCTGGGCAGAGATAAACTGGCACAGCCAGGGAGCTGAGGCAGGGCAGAGGCAGCCTGGAGGCTGGATCAGATGGGCATGGGACATGTCCTGCTGCACATCCCGGCAGTGCTGGACACTTCCCCGGGGGCAGGGGCACAGCACCCACCTGCCCAAAGGCAAGGGGTACAAGGTACCACAGTGTAAGGGATGGAATCATAGAATCATAATTTTTGTTGGCAAAGACATCTGAGGTCACGGAGTCCAACAATTAGCCCAGCACTGCCCTGGTGCTATTTGGCCCACAAAGCCTCTTGAGCCTTTGATCCTAATTATTGTAGATGTAATGAAAGCCCTCTGGCTGCCATCCCTCTGGTAGCCGCTTGTGCAAACACCGGCTGTTAGGGGGGAGAACAGCCCTAAGGAATTAAAGTTTTCCGGCAGATTCTGTAGCAAACGGCTTTCTGTAGCAAACTAGCTGATTCTACAGATGGCCTTTGCACAGGCATGAGCAAGACACCCCAGTCTGATCCAGGTGTTTCACACCTCTCTGGTACTTCTGGACTTGGCAAGAGAAAATCAGGTTCCAGGCTGTTGGCTGCAGGAACTCAGGAGAACATGGAGCTCCTCTGGAAACGCTTCCAGCGAATGAAGGATACTCCTGGTTCAGCTGCAGAGGGCTCTTTGGATGAGAGAATGAAGGCTCTTTGCATCCATTGAAATGTCCCAGAGACGGTTCGGGGATGATGAGGTGCTCTCACAACTGAGAAGGGTTGGGAAAAGCACCCAGGGCAGCTGTAGCTGAGGACAGCAATGACAAGAAGGATCCAGGCCAGCATGGCAAGTTTGGTCCTGCTGGCAGCAGAATCCCTTGTTCCCACGCTTTTGAAAACAGGAAGACAGTCCCAGGGAGATGGTGGGGAGGAAAGCAGCGAGGGAGGAACTCTGTGAGCCACTGGATCTTTGCAAAGGGCTTCTTGTTCCCACCTGGATTTCTGGTCCTGCTTGGACTCTGTGAGCTGCTGTAGCTCTCTTTCTCGGGCAATGTCCCTAAGCCTCAGAGAGGAATTAATGGGCTCATGAGTCTGAGTGGCTTAGGGAGAATGTCACTTCTAACACTTCCCCATGGGAACCAGGTACAGGAGTGGATGCAGGAAGGTGGTGGGTGGAAGAGCTGGCAGAGTCCAACCTGGCTGCAGCTGTGTGGGATTCACAAACACCCCCAAAGTGCTGATGAGGTAACTGGGGCACTGATGGGATTGGCACATTGTTAGCAGTATGGGAATTACAAATTCCAGGGCGAAGTAAACCAGGTAGCACAGGCTGTGCTGTGATGGGCTACTATTCAGCCAGCTGGGAATTGCTCATCAGAAGGTTGGGGCAGAGCAAAAGAATAAACAGCATAAATAACTTTGGAATGACGTAAAAGTGTGCTATAAGTTTAATGTAATTAAGGTAAATTAGTCATTACATGATGGTGAGACATGGACATGTAACAATGCCCTTTGGGGCTGTCTTATTTGTGTGGCCTTTATGAGTAAGGGCTGCTGGGATCCCTCTGTGGTGTAGGTGAGTGCACAAAGAGGGGAGCACCTGCACCCTAAGTGATTGGACTTGTGTTCCTGAGCACAGCCTGTCTCACTCTCCAACATCCAGGCTGGGTTTCCTCAGGGACAGGAATAGTCTCAGCACAAAGAGAGAAGACAAGGCAGGATGCTTTCCTGTCAAAGACTTATTATTCAAATTCAAGCTCTTCTTCAAAAATCAGAATGACAAGAAACAGCCCGGCTCAAGCACCAGTGGTCTTGTGGGAGAAATGTTACAAGTGGGATCATAAGCATCTAGTTTTTGTAAAAGAGGAAAGCCTTGTGATGGTTGTGCCCTGATGGATTCCCCAGGATGACTTCAAAGGAGCCTCTCTCTCTCCCCAGCCCCCAACTCATCACCAGGGTGGGGTTCCATCTGAGGAGGCAAACCCCAGGAGACAGAGTGAAGCCCCTTAGAAGTCGGGGTCTTGGGAGGCCTTGGAGGGGTGCTTTTGGTGTCAACAGTGTGTGCTAAACCTCATGCTCAGCCCTTTCCATTTGGCATGCTGTGTAACAGCCTCCCTTGTTGCTGTGCTGCCAGGCTGGCCTCAGCAGCACAAGGGTGCCTGTCCAAGGTAGTGCCCCCCAAGGTGGGGGGGCACAAATGACCTTCCTTACCCCAGAGAACTTCTTTCCTTGAGCACTGCTTTGGGAGATGTGTGAGCTGGTGGTGGTCAGCATGGGCAGGGAAAGACAGCCCTGGTCCCTGGAAGGACAGCCCTGGTCCCAGTCCCTCTCCCTGGAAGGACATCCTGCCTGCTCCCTGTTTGCTCCCTGGGGGAGAAACAGCCCTGCTTGTCTGCTGCAGCCTGGCTTGTGCTAGACATCTTGCAAGGCCTCAATTTAAACAATGAGGGACGTCAGATCACAACCTGACACCAAATAAAGGACAAACCTCAGCTGAGCGGGGCTGTATGTTCATTGGCAGTGTCCTGCCCTTGGAAGGCTGTTTGGGAGTGGGCACTCCAGGGACAGCACGGAATGGGGGTGGCTCACACGTGGATAATTGTCTCCACGGGAGGATGGAGTTCCCACACTCAGACTGGTACTAGGGCTGTGGCTATCCCAGGGCTGTGTCTGGACTCAGCACTGCTGTTACCCACAGGAACCTTGTTCCCAGGTCTCTGCTCCTGTATTTCAAAGCTGCTGGGTTTTAAGCCCTTGCAATTTCCCAGAGAAGGAAATCCCTTGGCACCCTGATCTTTAGCACCTCCTTTGAGTGCTTTGTGGTGTTCCTGGGAAGGGGGGTACCTGGGGAGGAGGGCACCTGGCTGGGAAATGAAGGTGATTTTTCTGCACTGTGCTCCTGTGGGCTGACATAAACCCATTCTAAATTCCCTGAGGGTCCAGAGACAGGAGTGAGGAAGAAGGGAAGAATTCAGCTCTACCATCAGAAATGGCTCTTGCTTGGATATACTGCCAAGCATCCTCAGGGCTCATCAGGGGTGTGAATAACCTGCTTTTTCTTCTCCACTACTTCCTTTCCATTAGCATCAAGTTTCAGCAGTGTGCTGGCACCATGAGCTTTGGCTGCTGCTGTCTGGGACACTCCTGTGTCCGTGTGAAGTCCTGCTAAGGCTGACCTGGAGGGGATTTACTGGCAGAGCATAAGGACATGGACCTGAGGTGACAGCAGACATCTTACTGGGTGAGGACTGCCTCTGGTCAAGGTTTGTTCAACACAGATTGTTTTGTCCATTAATTGCTGGTGCATAACCAGGGCACACTCAGCATCAGGTGTATCCCACACAAGGGACCTCAGGTGATGCTGATGGACCTGACACATTGAGCAGAGTCAGCCTGGTCCCTCTTGCCCCTGGTGATGTTAGTGCACACTCTGGGTATGCCTTCCCAGTCTAGGACTCCTCTTGGCTCTCCCACATCTTCTGGTGCTGAGGAGGGTGTCAAGGGCCACACTGAAGCATTGGGGCAGACTCCCAATCACCTCTGTCCCAGAGCAGTCCCTCGCTATTGTCAGAGTGCCACTCCGGTGTCACCCCTGCAGAGCTGCGTGCCCCAGCTGTGTCCAGCTCTGGGGGCACATGCCCCTCAGGGACAGGCTTAGGAGGAAGGAGCCGATGATGCCAGGAGAGAGACACCAGCTCGTGCTGCCAGTTGGACGCCTGAGCACAGCCAGGACTCGGCAGCAGGTCCCAGCACTGCACCCTCACCCCATCCTGAGGCACTGCTCCAGCCATTCTTTACAGTGTAACTTTCAGGCTTTTAATTAAATGTCCATGAAACACTCATTTGAGATGCTTAA